AGAGAGAGAGAGAGAGAGAGAGAGAGAGTGGCATGGTTAGCGGGTGGGAACGATGGATGGAACAGGGAATGCCAATGGAAAACCGCAGGCGAGCTTTGCGGCTCATCTGCAAGTGATCGTGGGCGGATGCGATGGAAGCTGGTGGATAGGCGTGCTGGGAGTGGGCCGAGGCGCAACTTACCTTGGAAAAGACGATGAGGAGACAGGTCTTACCACAGGCACCGTCTCCGACGATGACGAGCTTTCGGCGAAGTTCAGACATGGCGATGGAGTGTTATGAGATGGAATGCAAGAGGGAGCCGAGAAGGGGGTTGGGGTGCTCTGCACGGGCGAGTCGATGCGATGCGATGCGGGAATCGAAGATCGCTTGCAGATGGGGCCGGCTATGCGAGGCGAGTGATGAAGACGCGCTCGAGAGATGTGAATGCCAAAGATCGAGAGCTAGCGACGAGGCGGATTGCGGGATGGTCGAATGCAAGCGCGTGAGGAGGAGGAGGAGGCGATCGAAAGCAAGCGCAGAGGGAGTGCCGGAAAGCTTCGAAGCGGTGACTGGCAGCTGTAAAACACGAGGGTGCGTGTGTTGAGAAGCCGAGGGATGAAAGACGAAGGCGAGGATCGAAGATCAAAGATGGTTGCGAGAGTGGGTGTGGGATCAAAGAGGCAAAGGAGGTGTGGAGCAGAGAGAGATATGAGCTCTAGCTTGGCTGGGCTGGGCTGGACTGGGCTCAGCTGGGCCCGACTCGACTGCGCTGCCACTGGGCAGAGAGGCAGGGGCAGAGGCGGAGCAGAGTCGCATCGCATCGCAACGGCACTGGCACTGGCGCCTGTCTGCCAACAAACTCGCGAAATCAAGGCGGCCGAGCCGCTGTGCCGCGCGCGTTGAACTGCACTGCACTGCACTGTGCTGTGCTGTGCTGTGCTGGAAAAGGGTGCCGGGCGAGAGTTGGATTGCTGTGTTGGGTTGCTGCGCCGCGCGCGTGTGCTCTTTTCGCTTTCGCTTTGGCTGCCTCTCGCGCTTGGCCTGCTTGACCGACGAGGCCGTGTTCAAGTTCAGGCCAAAGCAGCCCAAATGCATTTCGACGGAACTGCGCTGTGCTGTGCCGTGCTGCCAATTCAAATTTCCGCAGCCAAGGCGGCGAAAGGCCCAAGGGCAGAGGGCGAGCGCAAACGCAAACGCACAGACGCCCGCCCGCCAACGCTTTTTGAAATGCTCGAATGGCGGGTTTGAAATGCGCCCGCGCCGCTCATCTCGCTCTGCATGCTCGCCCGCCAGGCTGGCACTCGGACTACAGTACTCGACAGGGGTTCAATTCAAAATCGCTCGCAGCTGCAGCGTCGAATCGCGTCGAATGAGAATGGCTGCGTGATTGGGGCTGGGCCGGGATCGCGGCCGTCTTTCACAGCAAGCTGCACGAAGCAAACCCTCACGATGGCTGCCTTTTGGAGCCTCGATGAGCTCTCTTGAACAGCACGCTCTCGATACAAATGTCGGTCAGACGGTCATGCTAGGCTTTGAGATGGGAACCGACCTCGTGGCGCATCCAGGTTGGCCGGCCATGCTTAGCATTTGTTCGAAAGGATGGTGGGCGTAGCGCTCGAGAGGCCAGCCGCCAGCCGTACAGTAACATCATTGCACCGCAAAAAAAAGGGAGACCGACGGTGCGCTATTTTTGGTCCGCTGCGTTCGACCACCCGTGGCTTGCTCGCATAGGCCAGAGAAGCGGATCGATCCGATCAGGCGCTCGATTGCAATACAGATGCACGCCCGATCCATCGATCCCAGCTGGGCGGCTCTTTCTTTTCGGGGCTCGCCCGCCTGGCGATCGCGCGCCAGTTGGACGCTGCTGCCGCTGCTGCAGCTGCAGGCGAAAGAGCGCCTCCATCCGAACCGTCGCGCCATGTCCGATGAGAATGTGCAAAAAGAAGAGGCGCTCTGCATGTAGCCAAATCGCCAGCCCACAGGCGTAGTCGGATGTGCCTGAACAGAGCCAGTACAGTAGCTTACCTCGGGCCAAGCGCTCGTACCATCACTCTGAGCTTTTCCAAGCCAAGCGTGGCTCGATCCCACCGGACCATTGTGGGGTGAGCTCTGCGGGGCGGAGGAGGGTTCGGGCGCCAGGGGCTACTGAAAGTCCAAGCTCAACTGCATTTTTTTTTTTGGATTTGGGTGCATGCAGCCGCTAAGCTGAGCCTTCCACCGCGCGCCTTCCCGCCCCCCGGAGCTTTCGTGTCGAGTCGATTCTGGTCGAGTCGAGTCGAGTCGA